CCAGCGCACCAGCGTTTCCCCCTGCTGCTCTGACACAGTAAGCAGTGCTGTCGCTGTCAGATGATACTCAGATGACCATCGAAGTGTTTCATTTCACCGCATACTCATCATCCATAAAGTATCTTCCGCAGAGACCGGAGAGGAGCTCTACAGGAAGATGGAGCTCGGATGGCAGTAGCCCACTCAGTTTGTTATGTAACAATCAATTTGATTAAATAGCTTATGGGCTGCATCAAACTGATAGCGTATTATACCATTGAGCTTTATGTAAGACAGCGGTCACTTAACAAAATGGTCCAATATGGTCAGAGCCCCTCTCTTTAAAAAAAAAAAGAAAACAAATTCCTCTTGTGGAAATCAAGTTAGGTTTTTTACTGTGATTAAATGGAGCACTCTTTTGATTAGAAATCCTCCATTTCTAAAGTGTTTCCAATCTTCCAGCTAATTACTAATCTCAAAATTATCTCTGAATACTGATAAGCGACGATGAGCCTTCACCAAACTTGGTGGCAAATGCCAGACCAGCACCGTCAGAGCAGCCATTGCTGACACTGAAGAGTCAAAGAGCAACAAGAGGCTGGCACGAGGCCTGTTTTGCCACTCTTGGCCCGGGGAGATCAATAGCTTTCTTATTTCTCCTCTTTTCTCCCACTTGCACAGTTTTACTGATCTGGGGGGTGTGAGGATGCTGGCATAAACAAGCCAAAGACTGCAGTGTAAACTGGGTCTTCCTGTTGTCCGTAGCTGGAGAAGTTTAGACAGAGGATGCTTGCCTCTCAGTTCAGGCATGGCTGGAGATATGCTCGCATAAACAAACAGGAAAAAACACTCTTCGCTTTGCTCCACTCGCATTCTCTCGCTGTTGCTAGTGCATGATCTAAAACGAGTCTCTGTGTGTACAGTACTGTGCCTTGCTTAAATGCATGCATGCACAGAAAGCAGCAGCATTAACAGCAGCAGACATGGATGTGCATAGCCTTTGGCACTGCATCACGTAATACAAAACCTCTAATGATTTAGACCATTAGACGATACAACCAATAATGCACTCGCGACAACCTGTGAAATTGTTCAGTGTGTGCACTGCAGCCGGCTCCAATTCAACTGTTGAATCAGTCCCACACAGCTACATTTATAGAGGCATTGATCAAGCTGCCGAGAAAGTCGTGCTTCAGCTATTAACTCAAAGATCCATCTCATCCAATAATTGTATAAGGCCTTATTCTCTCCTCCACACACGCGCGCACACACAGTCAGGGCAGATGCACACCATTGGAGCAGCTGGGACAAGCGAGATCTGTCATGGGTCATTAACTGCTCTTATTAATTCATGAAGCTTGATTCACTCGGCCCAGTCGTGTTCTGCTGCCATAAAACAAACGTCCAGTCCAACCCACGGGCGAAGACATTCTTCGTGTGGATTTTGACAGCATGTCGCCATCCTGGTTCATTTTATTACTCTATTAGTGCCTATGAAACAATTCCAGCTCTATGTGCAAGAAGCCCATTTATTTTAAAAACGTACCAACGTTGTAACACGCGTGGAAGGAGCTGCGAGAGAACCAAAGTCTTTTCCTGCGTCATCTTGCAAATCTGCAGAGGCTTTTGCCACATCAAACTATGAGCTTCCCTACAACCAGACCTGTGTACACTTGCACTTGTACATACACCGAGTCATTTTAAACTGAAGCAAAAGATTTGATGCATTTACAGAAAGACAGAAAAATGTTGCAACCAGTTCCAAAAAACAAGCAAACAAAAAAAGAATAATCATGACAATAAAGTGGGATGAGTGTGAGTGGTAGTTTTTAAACCCCCGCTGATTCCCACAACAGCAGGTACACTCAGGACAAAATGTAATCCGTTTTCATTTTGTTTAAGTTTCTGGACATTACCCAGACTGAATAAGGGAAAAGGATGGCTATTTCTCTCAGGATTTATCTTGCTGTTTTTAGCTGCACAACCAAAACACTCCCTAATTTTGGCTTATAAGGCGAAACCTAATGAATTTTGTTTTGTAACTTCCCACAGGCCCCAAACCTGAAATAAAAGTGCCCACATGATCCCAACGACCAAAACGGTCAATGCATCACACAGTGCGCGGCGTTTACCTCCAGGCCTTCCTCGTGCCCTCAGCGCAACCCTGTCTTCCTCAGAATGAACTGTTAATGACACCGTGCGCCTTCATATTTCAGACCGTGCTGTCGGGCTGCAACTGGCCTTTTCAGACATTTGACTCTTTCTACACAGATAACCAGAGTCCGTCTCTCCGCAGGGGCCCTTTACACAGATTTCAACACCAGTCACGTCATCGGATCACCGTTCAAATGTCAGCCAGCCTAAGCTCATTTTATTCCCCCTCTAGAAAGGAGTTATTCCCCGTGTCAGTGTTTGCTCCAGCATGCATAACGTTGCGAAAGAGCCGCTTTCATATGCACAGACAGCGAAAGCGGATGTGGGAGGCAGACCACCCTCCCATCCTCCCTCCCCTGCCACCCCCGTCCCCCAACATATATATTGATATATATATATAATTTGGGGGGGGGGCATACAATCTGTCAAAATGTGCAAGGATTTTGGTTGACTCGAGTCTATCACTGATTACAAGACGAGCAGTTTCGCGGTGTTCCGTTGATGTTGTCTGCACTGTCTGCACAGCACCCCCCTCCCGATTTTTTTTCTGTTGCATCTTTAGGATTTACCTGCCGTAATGAGCCACACAGTCTGCAGGCTGCCGTCATCCTTACGATTATTTTTTTTTCCTGCACAGCTCAAAATATGACAAAAGCAGGCCCGCTTACTATTTGTGTCAACTTACCCTCTCTGGCTTTTAGCAGTACAGTGTTGGCTACTATGTTCTCCAGCTCCATCAAAAAGAAAAAAAAAAGAGAAAAAGAAAAAAATCCTAAACGTAGAGGTTTCTCGGCACACAAACGTCTGCGGCGAATACAGCGTCCTTCAGCTCTGTGCGATGCGTTTCTTTTTCTTCACTCCTGGTCACTATCCAAATAAAATTCACTCATATCAAAGTCGTAAAGGATAAAACAGGATGTCATAAATTTGCTTGCAGTGTAAGCTGGGCATGGTTCTTGTTGTGGGCTGGAAGTGCGGCGCTGCATTTCTACTCCAATCCCCCCAAAACCATTCCATGCGTAATTTGGGTAGGAAATCTCCCCGACGCATAAAATAATTATTTCTGGAAGATCCGATGTCTGCAAACCGGGTTCTTTCGGCGGCGGATCCTTAACAAGGGTACACTAGGATACCGCCAGCTTTACCTTACAACAGCAGCAGCAGCAGCAGGGGTTGGCTGAGTGCACGAGAGAGGACATCAGCGGGCCCCCTCCTCCCCTGTTGGTGCGTAATCAAAATAGGCTGGGCCTCTCAGTTAAGCGGCGTCACACAGTCAGCCTCTACCAGAAGTTAGGCCACGGTGTCTGCAAAATAAAAGCACACTACAACTGCCTGGCTCGCTGGAGGAAGCGACACATTTTATAAAATGCTTTTTCTGGATTCTACATTCACATTTCTTTGGTCCCGCACGTTTCACCTCGAGTAGCCATGAATCTCATACCCAAGAGTTTCTACAACTAGTGAGCTTCTTTCCGCCAAAGTGATTCCATTTCTGTCCCAGTAACGCAAGCACAGGTGCTCCTAGTGGCAGTAAAGATGAAAAGGGTAAGAGGTAAAGTCGCCCTCTGTAGTTCAATTTTAAACTACATACGAGAACTGGTGTGCATAACGTTATGGATCACTTTCGCGAATCAACAAAGCTAAACAAGCATTTCGTCTTTGAAAATATCTAAATAAATAACAACTGAATGCCAGGTGATTGGCCGTTTCGCGAGGAATCCTCTAATTTTCTAAGGTAAGGGTTTTCAAAGGATTTATGACAGCAAGGAGCAAATCCACATTTTAGAAGGGCTATCTTTGTAATTAAACTGTAATTCTCTCTAAACATCTCCACAGATGAGCTTCTGGCATAGCTGAGGACGAGCAAAAATACACTGCCATTTACTGCTCCAAAATAAACGAAAAAGGCCCGTTTTAAATCGCATTTTTACTTAAAATAATAACAAATCTGTCAAAGATTTTAAAGCAATGTCCGACAGGACATTGAATCAGACATATGATTCAAACCGTTAACTTATACAGCTCTGTTCATTTTTTACAAATGACTCGCTTCTTCATATTTAAAAAAAATTGTTTACATCATCATCAGCCCGCTGTTGCTGTATTATTGTGTTTTTTACAACTTTATGAGCGTTTGCTGGTGAAATGGAGGCAGGAGTGTATAAAGAAAAAAAGATCTAGTGAAGAAATCAGGTCGAGTCAGTCCAAGTGTCCACTGTAGCGTTTGCTTCGAGATTAACGTTACCGACAAACCTTCGTGTGGGGTCCTCTGCCCTCCTCCGGAAGACAAGCACTTTACGCTGAAGTTTCACCGGAAACTGCACTTTATATAATAAGACTTGATATGTGGAAACTTTTATGGCTTGCAGGCTGTCAGGCTCTGGGTTCATAGTATAAAATAAAACGAAAGGAAGAAAAATACATGAAACTGCCACCGGAAGTGCTTAATCATGTGGCACGAGGATAACTCGTTTAGGAGCGAGTACAATCTCGCGGCTGCCCCGTTTCACAGAAGCCACGATGGATCAGTCAAAACGATTAACAAGCTTATTGACCGCTGAAGGCAGATAGGATCGATTTCTCAGTGTGCGGACGGGCTCTCATTTATATAAACAGGACGTGGGGCAGCCTGATGCACCAATATGCTGCCTGCCTAAGTGCAATTACCACAATGAATTATGGCATTTCCTCACATAACAAATGCACAAGTGTCCGGTTTGATGTCACATTGCAGCGGCTAATCTGCTTGGTGGTGTCTGTGGCGCCATCATAAAAGAGGGCACCGGGCACTGATTGACCCAAAGTGACGAGCTTCACATCCCTTTAATGCATGACACCTCTCCCACCCAAGTAGAGCTTCCATCATGAAAAATTAAACTCTTTAATGGGGCAAAGCACATAGTCTCCCCCCCCCCTCTCAATAGCAGTTCCACATTATTTAAACATTCGCCACATGATGAAAGAATACAAAGTGCTATTGATTCTTAATGGTCAACATATTGAGTTCAGAGAGAAAAAAAAAGTTGTTTTTTTTTAAACTTTGACTTGACACCCCCCTTACAAAACTCAAATTAAATCAATACAGTACATCACAGTAGATTGACTCATAATGGTATGTTCTCCCCACTTAAAAACAAAAAGTCAGGCTCCCATGAGCTCTCAGGTTCAACTTCAAACTTGTCAGTCCAATGCCAACTGAGAAAGAGGCCCACGGCAACTAGGCTGTTAGTATTCATCTAGGTTGTCAGCTTTGGGTATGGACAGGCCTCTGTCCTTCAGGACCTGCATTTTGACTTTCTCTGTCTCCTGTTTGGCTTGCTGCTGCAGCCGCTGCTCCTCCAAGATCTCTTCAATGGAGACTTGCTGCAGCACCGTGTCACAGGGCTTATCCATGTCCTGCAACGACAAGAGACCGTGTCACATCTTGCACAGGCCTGAAACACTCAGATAATATGACTGAACACATTTTAATTGGAATTACTGGATGTTCTGTAACTTTGAATTATTACTAATAAAATACCTGATCAAAAATTTGATTATTGACAAACAATCTGATTACACTAATGAAGCAAACAAGTGTCTTTATCAAACACAAATAATGTGGAAAGCCATTTTCTTTTTCCAGTTAAGGAGGACAGGTTGCACACCTGCCACTTCCTAGAACTAAAGGCATGAAACATCTGCAAGTCTTCAAGAAGACTGCATGGTTCATGCCAACCATCAATCACAAACTGCTTTCCGATAATAAGCAGCATGAACAGAAATGCTGTTTATTCATGCTTGACAAACATTTTCTTAAAACTATACATAAATGAATGTGTGCAGAAGATGTCGTATGCTGAGACTATGTGCCGTTTTGTGCTTCAATATCATTTCTGATATGACACAGGATTTGATGTCAGCTTACTGTCATCGTTTGCCAGATGCAAGCTCACCAAAAGGCACCAAGTAGTTAATCACTGCCGTTCCATTTCAATCAGCATTTCAGAACAGAAATAAATTAACAATCAAATGAACCTAATCATCAGGCAAATGTCACAAAAGGCAGCAACATCTTAAGCGCTGAGAAGCAGATCAGAGTACAGGTGCTGTCGAGCCTCTGCTATGACTGAAGCAGTTTTACATCATGACATGCTGTATTGTTACAGCATGATGTGGATCCCTTTAACAGCAGAGTACTGCTGTCAAGCATTAGGTAGGAATAACAGTAAGAAGAGTTCATGAATCACTTTTGCTCAGTGTACTGGCCTTGAAGGTCCTGTGTCACAGCAGTGTCCCTGTAATGCGTCACCTTGGCTGTTGACGTACATCAGACAAGCATGATTAAGGAGAGTCAGATGTTAAGGATGCATCAGCAGCTTGCACTGTTGCCTCTTAGGAAGGAGTTTCTCAGCCCGCCAGTCTTTCTGGCATCTGTTTGTGCCAGAAAGCCTGGCGAGGGTTCTTCGGCTTCCTATCTCAGTCCAAAGATAAGCATGTTAGGTTAATCGGCGATTCTAAATTGGCCCACGAATGGCTGTGCATCTCTGTGAGAAAGGCCAGATCTCACTCTGTGTCAACTGGGATAAGCTCCAGCCCGAGGACCCTTAGCCACCATTTATGTCAACCCCTACTCTCACAACTGTATCAATGCAGTGTGTGAAGGACATAAGGAAATGTAAGTAACAATGTCTTTACTTTGCATCCTTCTGACCATTTCAAAAACCAAAGTGAAAACGAGATTATGTCTACTTACTATCTCTCCAAGCAGCACCACATTTTCTCCTCTCACGATGAATATTCCTCTGGGGATGTCACCAAACTTTTTTCCCACGTGAATGCGCTCAACTGTCTGGTGAAAAACTAAATTGGCTGGAGGACAAAAGAACCGGGGTAAATAAAGAGCAGAAAAGAAGAGACCCGATCATGGGAATCATAATGACAGATAAACTGAGCCTGCTGTAACCAATGCAGTGACCCGACTCAGAAAAACAATACTAAAGATGGATATAATTAAAAGAGTTTTACCAAACTGATCAATGCTTCTCAGGTAACCAATCAATGTTCTTCCATCTCGGAGCAGCACCAGGTGCTTCTCTGCCGAATACAAACAAGAGGAGCAAGTTAAATGACAATTTAAACCCGCTGCAGATGATCCAGATTGCGTCGGACACGATGCTGCACATCTTGAAACGATTGTTTCTTTTTAAACCAAATCAGCTCCATCAAATCACTCCTCCAACTTACTATCGATGTCGTCAATGAGGCTTGCCGTCCCTGGTACGTAGTTCATCTTGTGCTGCTGCTTATTTGAGTCTTGTATCTGTATATACCGTCAAGCCATTAATGTTTCAATACATGTTTCTCACAAAATTAGCACAGGAAGCGTCTTTATACACGCCAGGGATGAACTTCCTGTAAGCATTTAACCCTTCGTGTACTGGCCATTCACTACATTTCTAACACGCAGGAACGGCCCTTTAAAAAAATACATCTTTAAATAAATATAACTTCAGGCATCGGGGGGTTTTGAAGATTAAAATAGCAGTTAATGTTTTTAAAATGTTATTTTTATGACCTTTCCCCTCATTGGCTAATAACGTCTACTGGCGCGCATGCGTCGGCAAAGATCGTATTTACACAACAACGGTCACAGAGCCGGAACAATTCAAAACGCCGTGCATTATGTAAATAAATGTATATTTTTGTTGAAATACGCCCAGAAAAATAGACGTTTAACGTCTTAAAATCATATTATAAATTTATAGCTAGTGTAATGAGGGTAGACCCTGGCGTTACTTTCTCCGTCCAAACGTTGGTCAGAAAAAATCTGGCGGAGTGAGACCTCTGTAGGTTTAGCAGCGCTCGCTATTAAAGGCGCAGCACAGGGGCGCTCACGTCATTCAGTCGTTTCCCGACTTCAACCAAGGGGTCCGCACTTGTATAGGAAAACGACAACATTGCTGCTGGCGTTTCAGACGACCTGACACATCCGATAAGTAACGCGAGGCTCGCTGCAGATTTGTTTCCCCCCCACAATGATAGATGACAGGGCGGCTGCCGATAAGAGCGCTTAGTCCAAGCATCATCATTATCAAATGCAGTCCAATCTGAAACCCGGCTGGCCCTCGACTTGCAACTCGGGAAATAATCACGGGAACTGGAATAACAGTATGGTAAGTAAGTGGGCATAGCTCAGACATATTCTCGTGGTATTCACACTCTCTTTTAGTGTCTTTAAACCTTAGAGAAAAGCGTGAATTTGTGGCCGAGATCATTTTCAGCCAGCTCGTACAAAGCTCTGTCTATGCTAGCGGCGTGGCTAACTGAGCTAACTAGCATTATGTAATAGTAACGGCTAAGGACAGAGTTCAGCTGTTTTCCGGGACTTTTACGTTAATTTTGACGTGACGCCACTGTTAATAAGACTCCACGTGTTTGAAAGAATGAGTCAGTATTTTGTGTCTTTCTTGTGACATGTTGGGCCCTTTTATTTCCGGTCAGTTTTTCTTAAGGATTTTGCATAACTGGTTCCGCAGGCAGATGAATCAATGTCCCTGTTTGCACAGTTATTGTTTGTCCTGGGATTGGTTGTGTGACGTTGAAGGTGTAGTTTTGTGTCATACCAGTGTCTACTTGTAAGTACTCTGGTGCCAACCATGCTTTGTGACTGTATTTGCAGGATGCTCCTCAGTATCCAGGCTACCCTCCACACTACTGGTATCCTCAGTCTCATTCCACAGGGCACTATGCAAATACCTATCCCTCTGGATCAGATGTTCAACCACAGTACAATCCACAGGTATGGCTATACAGATGCAGCATAACCAGTACCTCTAACTCTAAGGTTGGGTTAGTGGATTTATGCTTACATTTTCATATTAACATCTATCTTGTCAAAGTTGTTGTATCTCTGATGGATTTATACTTTTTATTTTAAATAACTAGGTCCCCTTCTTGTGTCTTTCACATAGGTAATGCCTGGTGGTTATCCAAACGGCCATGGAGTCTACAGTCCAGCACAGAGTCAGTATTCAACAAGTGGTTTCCACCCATCTAACCCTTTCTACTGTGCTGACCCTCAAAGACCGGCTCCGGGTTCTTATCCTAACCAAGGCTGCCATGCAGAGCAAAGCAGTGGGTCTTCTGGACAGCCTCATTCTCAACACCAACATCATCACTATCCTGGGCCACACTGCCAAGGGGTTGGTGCATTTAAGCGCACACAGTGTTCAAATATAACAATAGTTTAAATAAAGTCTTACAAATGAGGTATATTATACAGTGTAATTTTGTTTTTGTTTTTAATCTAAAAACGGATGGCTTTTTTTTTTTTTTTTTTAAACGCAAAAGAAACTTTTTCTGAATGTGAGACATTTGTCTTATTTCTGCTCTCAGGGTCCTGGATATCCTCCCGGACCGTACCCTCACTACAATGAGAGTGCCCATGCATTGCCTCCAAATCCCCCATACCCAACTGGCCAGTCACTTCATCCCAGCCAGCAGGCTGACGCATGGGGACACTCTGGTCCATATGTACCCTCACAGCAGCCATGGCCGCCGGGGCAACAGCCTCCCCAAAACCATTATGGGAATCCAGTCCGTCCACCACATCCTCCAGCGTGGCCAGGAACTGGAACAGGTGCTCCTCCACCGTACCAGCCCAAGGTAAGCATCTTAAGAGGCTTTTTTTTTTTTTTTTCTCTTTGTGTGCACATCTGTGTTTCACAATGTATTACAACTGTCATGATGAACTGTAAAACTAGAACAGCCATTGCACTTTGTTTTCTGTAATCACGCATCTATTCTGGGTGGATAGCATCTGTTTATGGGGGGGATTAGATTTTCTAAAAATTAAATACCAAATTTTTGCAAGGTATATTTATTTGAGTCAGTTTATAGCCTGTATCCTTATATTATCAAACATTTTAAACACAATATTTTTAAAAACTCTTGTGTTACTGTAGGACCAACAGCACCAACGCGCCCCACCGGTGGGACCTAAACCGAAGCCAGCACCATCCCCGAATCCCCTCGGTGGTAATCCTACTGAAATAAGTTCTCCTCCACAAATGTATAAAACTGGGAGAGGTGATCCTAATGCTTCACAAGCTGAGGCCCCGCCTTCGGTTCCAGCATCAACTCTAAGTCAGGCTGCACCTCAGCCCCTGAGCGATAACCCCAGTCTGGCTAAGGTCCAGCAGGTCATGGCCAGAGTACTGCTGCTTCAGGAAGACGTTGATGAGTTTGTTGGCAAAAAAACAGACAAGAGTTATCGTTGTCTGGAGGAACTGCTTACCAAAGAGCTGCTGGTGCTAGACTCTGTGGAGACTCAGGGACAGGAGAGTGTCCGGCAAGCCCGAAAGGAGGCTGTACAGAGAATCCAGGCCATTCTGGACCAGCTGGAAAAGAAAGCTTTCTGAGCTGGACTTGTTCTGCTTGTGGGTCACTTTGTTTTCATCTTCCTGATCTTCCATGGACATGTTCAGGTTCTTGTCTTCTTTTGCTGACCAGTGTTGTAGGGGTTTTTTTTGGGGTTTTTTTTCTTTTCTTTTCTTCCCACCACCATGTTACTATAGAACACCTGTGAAAGGTGGCATGGACCAAAGAAAAAGACACAGCAGTTATTGGCACGTGGAATCAAACTTTGAAGCCTAATAATGCTGGTATAAAAGGTATGGTGGTATTAGACGTGAAAGCTCATGGTTATCTGCGTCAGCCTCAGTGAGTGACTCTATCAGCTGCAAAAGCAGGAGCGAGTCACTGGAAGATGAACTTGTGTAGTGCCACATTGCAGCTCTCTGTTGTCGCTGACTCATGACGCAGATTATCATCACGCTGTCCCTCAGGAATGTGGGTCAGTTTCAGTCTGATCCAAAGTGTATCAGCTCTTGCACTTCTTTAGCAGGCTGTCGTTTCATCTCACGGTCCCTTTGCATGATCAGGAAATTGTGCTTTCACCTAATAGAGTAAATGCATTTTGTCCATAGCCATGTACCTCTCCATGCCTCTGCCTCTGTAGGTGCAGTGATTTCTTTTGTCTTTTCTTTTTTTTCTCACTCAGTTTAAGCCCTGCATGCACTGTAATGTCAGATAGGCACTTGATACAATCATGATATCTCAGAGCTCAGAACTGGGCCTTGAGTGTAGCAGATTAGTGAAAATCCCCCAGAAGATTGCTGTTCCCAATTATTTCATCTTTTTTGATGAAGACCTAGAATCAGACCTACATATGAATGCCATGTGTTTCACTTCACTCACTGATAAAGACTTGATTAAGTATGACTGGACAAGCTGTTCCTTTTCTCCATCTTTGAACATTCAAATATATATAAAACTGAAATCTCTACTTGAACATTTTCAGTCATGTTTTACGCTGAAGGACAAGGTTGGATTAAATGTTTTTCTTTCTGTCCTTTTGATAATGAGGACGAAAATCTATGTTTATATCAAACAGATTTTTGTGTGCGCGTCACTGTCCATTATGTTGTGTGTGTATGTTTTGTTTTGTTTTTCCCTCCTCAGACATTCTTGATGTGTTTTAGCAAAAAGTGCCATATTTAAGAGGATGGTTTTATATAATTAGGAGAAAAAAAATATAAAAATATCACAAGGTTTGCATGGAAAAGAAAATCATTTTCTGTGTGTTTATTTCCCCTTCTGCTCAAATGCAGCTCGCTGTGTAGTTTTAGATGTAATGCATGTTTCCAACATAGGATGGGTAAATTTTGCCTGATAAACGATAAAAAGATCACAAGTGAAATGGGGGGGCAGAAAAATGATTAAATGTCAGTATATTTTTTTTAACTCTTGATCAAATTAGTTTTTGCTTTGCCTTTACCAAACACACATGAATATCAGACGGTTTAGGTATCAGTCATACAACGTTTCTAAATGTCGTTCCATTTTAAAAATGGGAAGACTGCTTATTTTTCTCAAGTAGAAACTGGTGCTTGGAGGTCACACTGCCTTCAGCTGCAGGCCTGCATTGAGCTCTTTAAATAGACAGCTATTTGGACGCAAAAGCATTAATGTCCTCCCATGAAGGCTCAAAGTGCAGTCTAATTTAATTCAAGGGTCAAATGGCCTGACAACACACAGGACACCCTCCGGTGAGTGAATCTGAGCCAAACAAGCCTGCTCCACTTGAGTCACTGGTTACAGACGACCAACTGTGGAATAATCTGTTTGCAGTTTTCTTCATCAGCGAAGCTGTAAAAGGTAGTCTCTGCAAACTCTTCCATAACCTTTTCACCTTTTAAACTTTTTGCCTACCCCTAACAAACCATTACAAAAGATAAAATTGCCATGTCGACAGAAAAAGCGATGTCCTATACATCAAAACTTCCTGTGTGGTGGAATGCAGAGCCACCTCCGCGGAAATTGGAAATTGACCTGAGTTCACCTGGATTAGCTGTGTTTGAGTTGGAAAAACTCTTGTATACTGGCAAAGCCATAATCAGTCATGCAGATGAAGTGTGGCCTAGGCTGTACATTGGGGACCAGTAAGTAACTCCTTTATTTCTTTTGATGAACTCTGACATAATCTAACTGCACCTATTCCTCTAGCGTTAGTATTTACTTATATACAGTAGATTCAAATTGAGATTATGACTCTGAGGAAACTTCCTGACTTGTAAATCTCCAAATATTTTTCTTGTGTTGAGAGAGTCATTTGATACTTTTAGTAAAAATACTCAAATAAATCAAAAGTCCTGGATTCACTCCACATACGTGAAAGAGGAGCTGATCATAAATCGGATTCAAATGCAGAACGAGTAACGTGACACTTGTCCTGCTGCGTTCCACAGTGGGAACTTGCATAAACTACAACAATGCCATGTAAGCGTTTGCACTGATCCCTTGGCATGAAAGCACGTCTCGAATGTTCGAACTCGCATGCTTAAAGTGTTTTTCTAAGGATCAGTTTATCACGATGAAATATTGCATACATGCCGTATAACCTACTGTCTAAATACAGAGTGGTGTGTTTTCCAGACACAGTGCAGAGAACCAGGCTGATTTGTACAAGAATCACATCACTCACATCCTGAACGCAGCTCACAGTACTCGTAAGGGACAACCAGATATCTATGAGGGAATGAAGATCACCTACATGGGCGTAGAGGCTCATGACTCCTGTAACTATGACATGAGTGTCAACTTCCAGGCAGCAGCAGACTTTATCCATAGAGGTCTGAGCAGAGGAGGTAAGAGGAGAACATTAAAAAAGATATAAATACAGTTCAAAGGCAAATAGATTTGATGTGTGGAATTTAATCTAATATTTCTCTGTGAAGGCAAAGTGCTGGTCCACTGTCATGTAGGAGTGAGCCGCTCTGCCACCCTGGTCCTGGCTTACCTGATGCTGAAGCAGAACCTCACTCTCGTCGAGGCTATTTGTGCTGTGAAAGAGAGCCGTGGTGTGATTCCTAACCGAGGTTTCCTTCGACAGCTCATCAAACTGGACGAGCAGCTCTTTGGCAAACATCGCTGAAACCCGTCTAACAGTATTACTAGTCACCTTTCACGGGTCCAGAAGATTGATCTTTAATGTCAAGATGATGTGTTGCATGAAAGATTTCTTGCGATACTTTGGGGTCTTAGAGCATGTGATCCTTTCTTTGGTCTTTATTGTTATGAACGTTAAGATAAAAACATTAAATTTGTACATGTTAAATGGACTGATGTTTTACAAGATGTTTAGCAGTCAGCTTAATTTACATAAATATTGCGGAAAAGTTTTGAGCCACCATTGATTTCTTTATATGTTGCTTTCGAGGAACCAAACCTTTTTCGTAATTTTTAAACGTGGTCTTGATCAATAGTTCTGTAGGCTTTCTGAAGCTCTTTCTTTGGACATTGGCCGCTTCTACCTGACCATTTTCAGAGGAATGTGTTGTTGTTGTTGTTGTTTTTTTCTAATGTTGTTAAGCCATTTAACACTGACTCATGGATCACTTCAGTATAAAAAAGGCACCTAACTCAATGAATGGACCAGTGTGAGAACTAAAGGAGAAGTGCCAGGCCAAAAATACAAAAAGCTATCTACAGCAGCTGCAGCATCTGAAAGTCATTGTCTGTGGAAAAAGGAACAAATCCTGACCCGATTTATGTTTTGGGCACTTCAGGTGATCCATCTACTATTCGCTGAAGCCTCATCAGAAATGTTCTCATTGGAAGGCTGAGATCTGTTAAGATGCCATTTTTAATTCTTGCCAAATTACTCAAGAGCTGTACTGAATGTCAGTGGCAACAAGTCTTATGGAATGAATCCAAACTTGAAATTTTGGGTTCAAATTGTTGCCAGTATGTACGAGGAAGGTCAGGAGAGAGGCGCACTAGAGAGCTGAGAAAAACGATGGAGTTGCTGTCATGGTTTGGACATTCATTTAGGACAGTGGTGTTGATGATCTTGTCAAAACCAATGAACACAGAAAAGTGCCATCAGATTTTGACCCACTATGTAATATCATCTGGAAAGCATCTGGTTTGTTATTGCTTCATTTTTCAGCATGACAATGATCACAAACACACTTCCGCCACAGTCAGAGCATACCTGGACAGAAAAACACACAATGCAACACTATCAGTCATGGCTCTTCCTCAGAGCTGGACCTCAACTTTATTGAAGCAGTCTGGGATCATCTTGACAGAGAACAGAACAAAGAAGGTCTTTCAAGAAGCATGAAGAGCTATTCCTGAAGACTACTTACAGAAAACGCAAGAAAGCAGCCTAAGACAGTTCAGGCTGTGTTGAAGAGTAAAGGTAGTCATACCGAATATTAGCATTCAAGTTTGTTAAGCTCTGTTTTTGCCTTATATAGTGTATTAACATGTATTTTTGCATTTGTTTCAATAACTGTTTTCCTGTTTTCCCAACAAAATACGAAGAAATAATGGGCACCTCAAGACCGTTGCACAGTAATGTGGCTCCATGGTGCCTCCTAATGGCCAAATATTAAATGTGTTTTTCAGCACTGCACTGAAATCAATGCCCGTTTTTAACTCGACCAATAGCTGTTGCATAAATAAAGAAATTAACTTTTCAAAAGTGTTTTAGTGTTTCATTGCACAACAGATAATCATTTCTCTCTGACATCAGTGTTGACCGGGTGATATCAAAGTTCAACTGCTATACTGTATAGCACAGCTGGTGATTAGTGATCACCTATGGCATTTTTTGTACCCCTGCATTAACAAACAATGGCTTTTCTGTGCATTTTGTGTAAACTCAGTTTGATGCCATGATTACAGGGGAGTCATTGCACAGAACAAATGCAGAGGTTGAGCAAGTAAGAGGCTGAGACAAAGAGCAAACAAAGCCAAAGTTCGGCCTGATCGTCCTCATAAATAGAAGGTCTCCCTCTGTCCAGCTTCACTCTCTGTGTCTGATAATACATACAGTGAGCTCCAACCAGAAGAAGGTAAGCGATATGTTTTTTTAATAGCGTGTTTAACTGTCCCGCCATCAGATCCGCGGTTATCTTTAATATGTAACATCTGTAGACTGTAAGTTGTAACTTTGATTTTAAGCTCTTCTTAATGACGCTGAATATTTGCAGCTAATTATCATGAAGTCTATAAACAGATTTAACCAACCCATACACAATGTAAGTAAATTCTGATAGGCAACATTAGGGATTAAATCTGGCCCCTCTGCTTCAAATGAGTGAGGAGATAAAGAAACACAGAAATTTGTTGGGAAACTGTTGCAGCATAGCGTGTTGGTCAGAAACTCAGTTCACAGTACGAAAGAGCAAAACTGACCGTTTTCAGGAACAAATATTGCATAACCCACATGAACAAACAATCGATTCTGAACTTTTGTCTCAGTTGACCATGATGCATGCAGCCTTGGCTATCTGGATCTTATCAGCAGTGTTCTGCATGGGTAGAGGCCATCACCATCTGGGCTATGCCAATCAAGACCAAGAAACTGATAGCAGCCTCTCACAGGTGTCCACAGCAAACAAAGAGTTTGCCTTCCGTCTGTACAGAAAGTTAGCAGCTCATCCCGACTTTCAAGGCAAAAACATCTTCTTCTCACCAGTCAGTATTTCTACTGCCTTGGCTGCCTTGTCCGTAGGAGCTCGGGGGGAGACCCACAAGCAGCTTTTCAGTGGTCTAGGTTTCAACAGTTCCCAGCTCATGCAAGCAGATGTAGATCAGTCCTTCCGTACGCTCCTGCAAAACGCAAAGAGTGGTGACACCAGTGAGGGGACTGCCGTGTTCGTGGACAACCGCTTTAAGCCGCAACCCGAGTTCCTGGAGGTGTTGAAGCAGTCCTATTTTGCCGAAGGGTTTAATGTTGACTTCACCCAAGCCACGGAGAGTGCCAATACTATCAACAAGTATGTGGAGACCAAGACCAATGGGAAGATTGACAAGCTGGTTGAGAGCCTGGATGTAAACACAGTCATGTATCTTATCAGCTACATATACTTTAAAGGTAAGAGGTCAACTGAGATGAGATTTGGCTGGTCTGTCTTTTATTCCAAGGTTTAAGTTTGTGTCATCTGTAACGTGTGATTTATTTCTGCTCATAAACAAAACAGGAAAGTGGGAGACTCCGTTCAATCCTCGGGACACCACAGACGACCATTTCCATGCGGGGAACGTTCAGGTTCAAACAGCTGATTGAGAACGGAGATGAGTTGCAATAATTATACATCACTGCGCCTAATTCAGCCTGTTTTCCAATAAACTGTCACATTTCCAGGTTCCAGTCCAGATGATGAATATGGAAAAGGATGTTGATATTTATGATGACAAGTCCATTAACACAACAGTCCTCCACCTCCCCTTCAACGGCACCCACTCCATGCTGCTGATGTTGCCTGATAATATGGCAACGCTGGAGAACGCCATTAGCCCGGGCCATGTCAACAAATGGCTGAAATGGAAGAAGCAGAGGTTGGGTAGAATTTCAAATCATGCTTAATTTCTTGGTTTAGACACATTCGTCATATTTACATATACTTAAAATTTTTAAGATTAAACAAAGAAAGCTAGAGTAAAAATGAAATGCAGTTTCTAAACGATGATTTCATTTATTAAGTGGAAAAAACTACAGATTCCCACCCATCCCTATGTGAAAACGTAATTCCCCTCTAAACCTAATAACTGCTTGGGCCACCCTTTGCAGCACAAGGTGCAGTCAGGTGTTTGCAGGGATTCTGGCCCACTCTCAAACACATTGGAGGTTTTAAAAAAAAACAAAAAAACAAAACATGAAATCCTTACTTCAACTTGACCACTCCAAAACCTTTATGTTGTTTTGTTTTTTTGGAGCCAATCAGAGGTGGATTTGAGTTGGTGTGTTTCAGATGATCGTCTGCTGCATAACTCAGGTGTATTTGAGCTTCAGGGTGCAAAACATTCTCCCTCAGACTTTTCTGGTAGAGAGCAGAACTCGTGGTTCGACCAATTACAGGAACTCTCCCAGATGCTGAAACAGGAGAGCAGCCTCAGACCATCACGCTGCCACCACCATGTTTCATTGTTGCTATGATATTCTTTTCATGGACACTGTCTTAGTTTTACGCCAGACGTAACAGGACTCAAACCTTCCAAAAACTTTAACTTTGTCATGTCAGTCCACATACTGAAAGTCTTGGGGATCATCAAGATACATTTACTTTTTGGAAAAAGCTTTGTAACCCTTTCCAGACTGATAGGTGTCACTGACTTAGTTTTCCAGCAGTTTCTTCAGATGATGTATTGCTTTTTGAGATCTTTTAGCTTCACTTTGTCAGACAGGTTTTATTTTAGTGATGTCTTGATTCAACAGGTCTGGCAGTAATCAGGTCTGTGTGTGGCTTATGAAATTGTGTTTAATTGTGTAGTTAATCACAGTAAATTCATGTTTTAACAAGGAGGGGCAGTTTATGACACAGGGGCAGGCAGGTTTGGGTAGCTTTTTTTCTGTTAATAAAAGAAATGATCCTTTAATAACTGCATTTTGCATCCACTCAGGTTATCTTTGTTTGATGTTAAAAATTTGTTTGATGATCTGAAACATAGAAGTGTGACAAACATGCAAAAACTAAGAAATCAAGAAGAATAAAAATACTTTGTCATACCCTGAATACGCTTGCCGGATGAATATCAATACTATTGATTCCTTTCACAATTTTTAGGAGATACAATATATATGTGCCAAAGTTCTCCATCAAGACTTCCTACGAACTGAACAAAGTGCTGACTGAAATGGGAATGGCAGACATGTTTCGTGATAGTGCAAATCTGACCGGTATTTCAGAGGGGCAAAAACTGGCAGTCTCAGAGGTAAGGACAGTGTTATCAAACACACATTTCGCCCTTTTATTCAATCCTCTCACATGTCTCTCACTCCACTGCGCTGTAGGTGGTACACCAAGCCACCCTGGATGTTGATGAGGCTGGAGCCACAGCAGCAGCTGCTACAGGCATCGGTATCATGCTCATGTCCTTCCGGATTGTCCCGGTCTTGAAGTTTAACCGCCCATTTATGGTCATTATCACTGAGCGTAACACAGAAAACATTGTTTTCATGGGAAAGATTATTAACCCAAACATCTGATGGAGGAAATGCTTTGTGTTCTTCCATGGTTGTTGCAGTAAACATAAAATACTCAGAAAAACAAAAACAAAAAACACTCACTTGTCATGTCTCTTCTTTTATGACTGCATGGTTTTAGTATTGTTCTACCT